GTATTTAGCAGCTTCTGTATTAAAGACTGAATGGCTTAGAATATGATGTTCCAGAAGGAAAAGGAGCTAGGTTCACAACCAAGAATTATCTACCCAGCAAAAGTAAGCATATTTCTTCAGGGGGAAAAATGGACATTCAATGAAAAAGAGAACTTACAAAAATTCCTCATTGAAGGACCAGAGCTGAACAGAAAACTTCAAATGCAAGACTCAAGAGTAACATAAAAAGGTAATTGGGAAAGTGAAAACAAAAAGGATTCAACAAAGCTAAACTATTAATATCCTTGCGTGGGAAGATATTTATAAATCTTAAGAACTGTGTTACAATTAGGGCAGTTGAAAGTAATTTACATACACAAAGGATGCAGGCATAAGCTGACTTTGATGGAATGATATCTCAAAAAAAAAGGGTGAGAAAGAGGATTGCACTGGGAGAAGAGGGAAGGGAGAGGTAGAGGGGGGTAAGTTATTTCATATGAAGAAACATGAAAGACCTATTACAATGGACAAAAAGATGGGAGGGTGGAATGGGCATCATTTAAACTTTACTCTCAGTGAAACTGGCTCAAGGAGGGAATAGCATAAACAATCAGTTCTGTAAAGAAATCTATCTTGCCCTTTAGGGAAGTAGAAGAGGAAGGTAATAAGAAAAAAGAGAAGACTGATAGAAGGGAAGGCAGATTAGGAAGGTGGTAATCAGAAGCAAAACACTGGTAAGGAGGAACAGAGTGAGAGAGAAACAGAGAGAGAGAGACAGAGAGAGAGAGAGAGAGAGAGAGAGAGAGAGAGAGAGAGAGAGAGAGAGAGAGAGAGAGAGAGAAATGAAAATAGTATGGAAGGAAATATACAATAATTATAAGTGTGAATGTGAATGGTATGAATTCACCCATAAGACAGAAGCAGAGAGCAGAGCGGATTAAAAAAAAAAACAGAATCCTATAATATATTGTTTACAAGAAACACACTTGAAGCAGAGACACAGAGACAAAAATTAAAGGTAAGGAGTTGGAGGAGAATCTATTATGCTTCAGCTAAAGAAAAAAAGAAAAGATAGCAATCATGATCTCAGACAAAGCAAAAGCAAAAATAGATCTTACTAAAAGATAAGGAAGGAAAGTACATGTTGCTAAACAGTACCATAGACAATGAATGTTACTAAACATATATGCACCAAATGGTATAGCATCCAGATCCTTAAAGAAGAAGTCAAATGAGTTATAGGAGGAAATGTTAAAACTATACTAGTGGGGGAATCTCAACTTCCCTCTCAAAACGAGTTAAATAAAATTGCAAAATAAACATACAAACTTTGAAGTCAAGAAAGTGAATAGAATTTTAGAAAAGTTAGATATGGTAGACCTCTGGAGAAAATTGAATGGGGATAAAAAGGCATACTTTTTTTTTTTGGCAGCAGTACATGGCACCTACACAAAAATTGACTATGCGTTAGGCCATATAAACTTCACAATCAAATGGAGAAAGGCAGAAATATCAAATCCATCCTTTTGGGATCATAATGCTATAAAAATTACATTCAATTAAGGGCAGTGGAAAAATAAATTAAAAATTAATTGAAAACTAATCTAATCCTAAAGAATGAGTGGGTCAAATAACAAATTATTGGAACAATAATTTCATTAAAGAAAATGACTACAATGAGAAAACATACCAGAATTTATGGGATGCAGCCAAAGCAGTGCTTAGGGAAAAATTTATATCTCTAAACTCTTACATAAAGAAAATGGAGAAAAGAGCAGATCAATTAATTGAGCATATAACTGGAAAGAACTGGAATTATAACAAATTAAAACTCCCCAATTAAAAATCAAATTGGAAATTCTGAAAATCAAATGGGAGATTAATAAAATTGAAACTAAGAAAACTATTGTATTAATAAAAACACCAAGAAATGGTTTTATGGGGAAAATGATAAAATAGATAAACCATCAATTGGATTCAAAAATTTGATTAAAAAAAAACAACTTCCTAGTTTTAAAAATGAAAAAATGTTAATTCACTGCCAATGAAGAGGAAATTAAAGCAATTGTTAGAATCTGTTTTGCCCAATTGCATGCCAATAAATCTGACAATCTAAGTGAAATTGATATATATTTACAAAGGTATAAATTGTTTCCATTAACAAAAGAGGGACTAGAATACTTAAATAACTCAACCTTGTAAAAAGGAAATTGAACAAATCATCAATTAACTTCATAAGAAAAAATCCCCAAGGCCAGATGGATTCACAAGCAAATTTTATTAAAACATTTAAGGAAGAATTAATTCCAATACTATATAAACTATTTGGAAAAAAAATAGATGAAAAACAAGTCCTACCAATTTTTTTTTTAAAACATAAATATGGTGCTGATATCTAAACCAGGAAGAGCCAAAACAGAGAAAGAAAACTACAGACTAATTTCTCTGATGAATATTGATGCAAAAGAAAACTTATATAAGATAATAGCAAGGAAATCACAGTAATATATCACAAGGATCATACATTATGACCAACTGGGATTTATACCAGGAATTGATGGCTATTTCAAAATTTGGAAACCTAAAGGCATAATTGACCATATCAATAACAAAACCAACAAAAATTATATGATTATCTAAATATATGGAGAAAACTGTTTTGAGAAAATATGAGACTCACTCTTATTAAAAACAGTAAAGAACATAGGAGTACATGGGGCTTTCCTTAAGATGATTAGTAGTATCTAAAACTATTAGTAAGTATTTTCTGTAATGGGAATGAGCTAGAAGCCTTCCTACTAAGATGATTACTTAAGCAAGGATGTTCATTATCGCCACTATTATTCAGTATTTTACTAGAAATCTTAGCTATAGAAATTTTAAGAAAAAGGGAATTGAAGGAATTACAATAGGCATTGAGGAAATAAAGCAGGACTCTGCAAAAGATATGGTGGTATGCTTAGAGAAGCACAGTTAGAGAACCCTGGAATATTGACAAAAAGAAGCTGTTGAAATAATTAAACATTTTAGAAACGTCTCAAGATATAAAGGAAATCTACATAAATCATCAGCATTTCTATATATTACTAACAAATCACGGCAGAAGAGATAGAAAAAGAAATCCCATTTAATAAACTCTAGATAATACAAAATACTTGGTAGTCTACCTGCCAAGACAATCCCACAGATTGTATGAACACAGTTGCAAAACACATTTCACACAAGTAAAGCCAGATCTAAACAATTGGAAAAATAGAAACTGTTCATGAGTGGGCCAAGCCAATAAAATAAAATGACAATTCTACTTAAATTGATTTATTTCTTCAGTGCCATACCAATAAAATTATCAAAAATGTTTTATAGAGCTAGAAAAATAATAACAAAATTCATCTGGGAGAACAAAAGTTCAAGAACATCAAGGGAATTAATGGGAAAAAATGTGAATGAAGGTAGCCTAGCCATACCAGAACTCAAACTGTATTATAAAGTACTAATTAGCATATATATTCTTTGTTCCTCACAACAAACCTATCTCGTAAGGTAGGTGCTGAATGAAATGTTAGGGGCTGATTTTGTTCAGAACTACGCAATCATACAGAGAGATAGGAGGCCTCCTGCCTATAAATTCAATGTTATTGCAAAAATGGCACTGAACAAATAAATTGAGGCTCTGGGCTATTAGGTTTTCATTAATTGCAGATTTAGAGGCGTTTGGCTTATCAGGTGCTATCTGCAACTCTCTGACTTTATGGCTGAATATTCTGGCCCAGAGAGGTAAAAATGTGACCTAGGGTCATATATTAATTGGAAGAACCAAGATTTGAACCATCTTCTTATTACAAATTCAACACTCATTCCTTGCCCTAAGTTACTTTCCAAATCTTCACAGAGAGGCAGTGAAGGGTTCCCCAAAAATGGAAGAATTCTAGTCAGGATAGTATTGATTCAAGTTCTGAGTATGGAATTGACTAGATATGGGACCATAGCAAGTCACTTAAACTTTCTTAACCTCAGTTTCCTTATCTAGAAGATGGGATAATTGTACTTGCATTAACCATTCACTGTTTTGTTGGGAGAAGCAAATGAGCTAATAGTTGTTGAGCAACTATTGCAATGTCAACACCACTACCATCAGAGATCTAGGAGGTCTCCATCATCTGTATTGAGGCAGAATCACTGAATGTTACAACTGAAAGTGACCTTCAGGATCATCTAGTCCAACTGTCACTCTTTACAGATGAAGAAGTTGAGTTTTAGAGAAGTGAAGTGATCATCCCAATGCCATATTGCTGGTTAGAGGTCATAGTAGCTAGACCAGACTCAAAGACTCCTATATCCTTGGCTCTCTTCACTACATAATGTAACCTCACTAGTTCCTGTGTTTCTTGTTATTTCATCCTCCAAAAAGACAAGATGACCACACAGCCAGGCCAGTAACTACGGGTATTTCCTCTCACTTCTTTCATCTACGTTATGGATCCAGTCAATGTCAGCCAATATCTGCTCATTGGAAAGAAGAATTGGGTATGGAAAGTGGAAATTCAGCCCAAGAAAGTGGCAACCATTTATCATGGGCTTCCTTTTCCTTCCTTCCCATTCCCCATTTCTTCTATATGTCTCCTTAGTATTTCATTTCTTTAATCATCACTTAGAAATTGTTCTTTGAGGGTATAGTCTTCCTACTCATTAAGGAGCCACATACGTACAAAAGTTGTTTTCACTTTGCAGAAAGCATGGTAGAGTGAAAACTCCCTGAGGACAGGGAATGTGGAACAGTCCCAGTGCCTAGGACATTTCCCAGCACACAGGAGTTTGACAAATGCTGTTGGTTGATTGGTTAGTGGTTGGTGATACCGAGTTACCAAGTGAAATACCAGTTAGGTGACACTGATGGAGAGGACCTCTGGGTGTGTCCAGCAGAGGTGGGGCCCAACCAGAGAGGCAGGCTCCTGAGGTCTGACTGGTTCAGTCCCACCCAGCTGACCCATTTAGAATTACTACATTCATTGCGGTAAGAGCAGATAACTTCAGTGGATTCTTTGGCCCCTGGAGAAAAAGACCAGATTCAGATTCAGAAAAAGGTGAGAGTCAGAAGACATCTTGTTTGCCATCAGTTAAACCTCTCTGCTATTACCACTCAATTCCTCCAGGTTGTGTGTTTGGAGAAAGCTGCTTACCACGGAGACTTTCCACCTCCAACACAAGCAAGCAGTTTCTTTAACAGAAAGCACATCCTAAACAGGTAAGGCTGACTGACTTGGCTATGTGGCTGCTGAATTGATCCTGAACAAAGGTAGAAGGGCAGAGCAGTTGTGTCAAGATTCAAGGAGACAAGGAACCCCCCCCAACCCTGCCACCACCACCCAAAAGAGGAGTGTGGACCTATGAAAACAAACCAGACAACTCGGGCTCTTTGGTCTAGTTTTTATCACTGCTGTCCCATTTGACTAGAGACAACTATGCATATCTCATGCCTTCTAAATTGGAAAGGGGTGATGATAACACTGGTAATATGCAATGCAACTTACCTTACCTAAACTATAGGGGTGCATGGATGCTGGGGTTCAAAGGTTCTCCGGTTATTTAGCCCTCTATCCTCTCCCTCTCCTCCTACCTTCTTTTCTCTCTGTCTTTTTCTTTCTTTCCTTCTTTCTTTCTTCCTTTCTTTCCTTCTTTCTTTCTTTCTTTCTTTCTTTCTTTCTTTCTTTCTTTTTCTTTCTTTCTTTCTTTCTTTCTTTCTTTCTTTCTTTCTTTCTCTTCCTTTCTCCTTTCCTTTCTTTTTTTCTTTCCTTCCTTCTTTCTCTTTCTCCTTCCTTCCCTCGTTCTGTTTTTCTATCATGGTCACTTCTTTATACAAGGATTCATAGGATACATATGTATACATATGTTTACATATATGTGTATATAAATGCATGTGTACATACATATATACATGCATGTGATTCCTTATCTTCTGAATTCTATTAGAAGAAAGATACAATTCTAAGCACACTTTGATAGTATCATATGGTTGGGTCAATATTGAAAAAAAAATCTGAATGTCAATGTTTATAAAGAAATATTTTAAATTCCTCATCTCACTGTGGGAGAAGGAAAATTCCATCTCTCCACAAGCTTCTCCCAAACTGTATCCTCTAATTTCCTCTCTTCTAAGAGCTGTCATTCTCTCTGTATTGTTCTACACTTTTAAGATAATCTCATTCTCAGTTACTGCGGGGGTTTTTTCTGGGGATGCTAATTTTAGACACTGTTTTCTTTTTCTTCTTCTGCCAAAAAGGTTGCATCCTTCTTAGTTGTGAAAAAGAATACTTCCGTATGTAATGTCTATGTGTGTGTGTGAGTGTGTGAGAGTGTGTGTGTGTGTGTGTGTGTGTGTGTGTGTGTGTGTGTGTATGGGTGTGGGCGGGTGTGTGAGTGAGTGAGTGCTCGCATGCTCACTCCTAGAGCTCTCCTAAATGACTCTCCTTTTGTGTGTCATCACAGGGTTTAATTCATGTCCATGGGCTCACCAAAGGCTGGCCAAGGCAGCTGGAGCTTTCTGCATGGCAGGATCTCATCACATCTCATCACATTCTGTGGCCCCTTTAGGGCGGCTGCCAAAAACAAACCACTTATTTGCTCTACCCCCCTACACAGTAGTGATGTCCTTACCCCCGTGTCTTAGAACAGAGTAATCCCGATGGCTAAAATGCTTTCCCACCTTTCTGTTGCTTCTTAGAATCCCGAGCTTTCTTTAGAGCAAAGCTCATGGGCCACCTCCTCATACATGAGGCCTTTCTTGAACCCTGTGGTCCCAATCCTTCCCTGTTGGAATCCCTTTCTAGGTCCTTACTTTTTGCTGACCTGTAGCCATGATTCATAGCCCAAATACTACACAAGCCCTTAGAAGTCACTGCTGGCTTTTAATTTTGGTATATTTCTCTAGTGACTAACAAAGTGTCTGGTACATAGGTACAATTACTCCATTAACAAACATGTGCTTATGAAAAGCTTACTATGTGCCAAGCACTGAGAATACAAAAAGGAAATATTTTCAGCCCTCAAGACAGTTTTGTCCTAGTGGGGGGGAGATGACCTGTTCGTGTAGAGGGATATGGAAAATGGGCACACATCGGCTGCCAGATCGGGTGGATAGCAGAGGGCCAGCAGTTAAGGGAAATAAAGTAGACCTTTTATTGTTCTTAGCAATTCTAAAAGCTGGAGGTAAGCAGGGAGTTAGTTCATTTCAGGCATTAAGGGCATCTGCTGTGAAGGCCAAGAGATGGAAGCTGGAACACCTTGTTTTAGGAATAGAAAAATGTAAGCATCCAGCATGGCTGGAATACAGAACTCAGGGAGGAGAGTGATGTATAACTTCCTTGGAAACATAGGAGGGGGTGAGATTCTGAAGAATGTTAATTGCCAGATTGCCCCTGGAGTTTATTGAGCAGGGTTTGTCATGAAGGTGCTCAACAAAATTTTATTTATGTCTCTGTCAGTCAGTCAATAAACATTTATGTAAGACCCACTATAGGCCAGATTTGTTCCTTGACTGACGAAAGTATCCCTTGGGATTCGGTCATGCTAAATTGAGGAAATTTGATTCCTGTTCTCTTTAGGTTTCAGGTAAGCTTCAAGCTGGCCTTGCCAACAAATGGCCCATTGATGGTATTTTCCAATGATGGCTGAGGCTCCTGCCTGCATAAGGCCTAGGAAATGGGCTGTCATCTGTGGTTTCTAGCTGAGGACATGGGACCAGGTGGGGTTCCACATTCTCAGGGAATTGAGAAATCATCAAGGGATTGAGAGAACTCCCTTCCTTGATTGATTAAATCCTCCTGAAAGCCAGCTGGACTAGACTTGAGTCAGGAAGCTTCAAAGTTCATCCTGCCTCAGCTACTTCCTGATTCTAAACTCCTACAGGAGTCACTAAGTTTTCAGAGCCTCATCAGTAAAATGAGGATATACATACCTGTGCCACCTGCCTGACTGGGGGTGAGGAAAATTTTGTGAACCTTCTATTGGGGCCCAAAGAAACAGCAGGGGTGTTTATGATTGATACGGGCCCATTGGCATCAGTAAAAAGACACCTCCACCCCACACCGTACCCCAAACTGCATGTTTTTGGACTGAGCATGTTAACTCTCCCTGAACAAAAGGACAATGGTGTCTTCTTCATGTCGCCAGGCCGATGCTAGCATCTGCCCTGGGCATTTTCACAGATATGGATAGTCATAGGATCTCAGAGTCAGAGGATACCTCAAAAATGTCAAACTCCTGGTCAGTGTGCCAACAGCTGCTCAGTTTCTACACTCCAATTTAGAGGCAATAAATACCTATCATGATAGCAACAATTCTTACATCTTTTAAGCTTTTTCCTTTCAACTCACCAAATTCATATCAGACAGCTTGAACATTGAAAAAATACCAAATTTTGTGTCATAACATCCGAGTTCAAATCCTTCTTTGGCCATGTTTATTACCTGTGTGATCTTGGGCATCTCTAAGCCTCAATTTCTCCAAAGCAGGAGGGAATTTGATCTGATGATCCCTAAGGTCCTTCTGATTCTAAATCTATGAGTCTTTGCTCCTGCACCTCTATGACCTCCAATGTCCCTTTACAGAGGGAATATCCTCTGTGGTCTTGATAGCTGCACTTATCACAGTATCTGGCATTTAGTAAGTGCTCAACAAAAACTTGATAAGTGACCGGCTGATTCAGGTCTAGAACTCTGAAAAGAGGTCAAGAATGGAAATATACACTTAAAAGTCAGCTGCATAAATATTGTAGTTGGATCCACTGTAATGAAAGATACTGCTTATAGAAGAGAAAAGCACCAAGGGCCTTGAAGACTCATCTCCCTGAGTCTGGGATGAGATGAGGAGTTATAGAGGTAGCATCAAAGCCAGGAGAAAATCAACAGCCAAGACTCAAGCAAAAGCCATTGAAGTAGACAGTCAAGAGGCCAGGAATGAGCTTTGAAACAGGAATGGCATGATACCACTGTTGGGGGAAAGTGAAGGATGAAGCAAGTAGAGAATTAAGGGCATATGACTTGTTTTTCAGACATGTTAACATTAACTATGGTAAGATAAATAGGATGGCAGATGGATTAGGTAGAAAAGTCAAGGAAGGCTCTTTTTAACAGCTGTAGAGACATGAACATGCTTTAGACACAAGAAAAGGAGCTCATGGCAAAGGAGAAATTGATTATGCCAATTAGAAATTGATACTGGATCAAGATCCTGAAGGAGGTGGGAGAGGATGATGTTAAGAATATAAATAGATAAAATATAATAGGTATAAATGCAAAGTCTTAATGCTTGAGTTAAAGAAAAAAAAATACTTCAGAAGAACAAAATGGGGAAGTCGTGGAAAGATAGCCATTCATCCAGAAAGGTTCTTGGGTTTAGGTGACCTACAAGGTCATTATGAGACAACAGTAGGACGTGGCAGCCCAGAGAGCTAATGCAGCCTTCAGCTGCCTAAGAGAGGCATGGTGTTCCAGGATAAAGTATATACTGGACTAGTCAACCAGATTCTGGAATATTGCATGGAGTTCTGACCACCATATTTTTTCAAAAGATACTGATAAGTGGGGAATTGCCCAGAGGGCTGAGAATTTATACCATACATAGAGCCATTAATGGAACTGGAATGTCTGAATTAAAGAAAAGAATTTTCATGAGACATAGTGGGTGACTTCAGGAATTGAAGGACTGTCATGAAAAATAGGGATGAGATTTTCTCTGTCTAACTGAAGAGGAAGGAGCTAGGAGTGATGGTTAGAAGCTGGAAAGAGTCAAACTTCCATTTGCTATAAGGACAAACATCTTGAGTTGGAGCTGGTCAAAAACAGGATGATCTTTCTTCATGGTGAATTCTTCACAGGAAATCATAAATAAAAGATTGGACTGGTTTAGCTCTGTTGTAGGACAGGTTCTTGATCAGTTACAGATTGGACTCTATGGTGTCTGAGGTAGCAGTCATAGGAACAAGGGTAGTTATTCCTTTTTGACTGGAAACAAGAAAAGGTAATCATGGTATGAAAATGTGAAGAGCAAAGAAAAGAACTTGGGGAAGGGAGATCTCTTTCTAGAGCCTTGGGATTTTCACTGAGGGAAGATTTTGTCTCTCAGTGTAAGTGTGGGCAATCAGGTACAGTTGTGGTTCAGAGGAGAGAAGAGAAAGGTTGGGCCAATTACTGTGGTAACTGAAATTGTAAGGAAATAAGAGTAAAAAAGGATTTCTCTGCAGCAGTG